TTTCCTAGGGGTATTCGATCTGTATTCGACGAACCTATTTTCAAAAACACCACGCCGGTGTGGTAATGGAGAGGGAGGACCGAGGGGAGGACGTTTGGAATTTTTCTTTCTGCCTAACGATCTCGGGGACATATAAATGGTAGGAAGGATTCCAGCATTTTGAATTTGCTGAAATTTTAATTATAAAAATCAATTTCTCCAAAGCCTCTCGACTGGAAAAATACCTGATAATGACTGACCGAAGATGATATGGACAGCTAGAGCCATAATAATCAAATGGCTGTGAAGTCGACCAAATAACTACAATAGAACGTCATATTTCATACTGAATTGAAGATATCAAATGAAGTCCTATTAATTTGGAATGCTCTTAGAAAATTTACTGTAAGCTTTATCCAAGCAGTTTCTTAAAGACTATTTCGCAAGTCTTCCTCAAAGTCTACCCAGCAAATTTTAATATAATCGTGGCGGGAATGAGTTGGGAACCTTAGAAACGTTCCTTCTTCTTAGAAATGTTTTCAGAAACCTTAAAATTAGATGCGTTAGTAGATTCTTAGTAGTTTCTTGAGAAATTGTCATGGAAAATTAAATTGCAGCTCAATTTTTCCGATAGAAATTTCCTCGCATAAAGGCGAAAAACGCGAAGTGCATAAAACGAGCGCAAATATTGATTGCAATTGCAATTCCAGTTCATCTTACAGAAGTGCACCACCTCCTTTTTTGTTTAGTTATACTGACGTGCCTTAATCGTAAGTAAGTAGTACATTTACACGATAATATGCACAAAACCTTGTAATATATTGCAAGCGTCCTTTTCTATAAATTTTGAATTGAAAAAAATTCACCGAAATAGCACAGTTTGTTTACGTCAAAACTGACGTGGTTCTCCCGCCATTTGGATACATTTTGGCGTTCATGCCAGTTATCAGTTTCACCGCACTCTGCACTTTAGCTGATCGTGTCGACCAGTTCTTCAAATAATTTTGTATAATTTGAAAAATCCGTGGGAATTCCGAAAAAGAATGGTCACGAATAACAAACATTCAATGTTACGTAAATTAATTGTTTAGCTTTAATTACCGAAAGTGTAGACAATTATACATACCTTGAATTCTAAGTGCTTATCAAAAGTTGCGCACATAAAGATCTATTGACAAGTGAGTGCAAGTGGAAGGACGCGCAAAGGCCTTCGAGTGAGAAATTACGTGACTATGGGTGAGTGAGTTCTTCTACTTGTAAAAGTGTGAGCATGTGAAAGTTCTAACGTTGCGTATTCGCAATTTTCTTGAGATGAAGTGATAATCTTCTGTTCTGACTTAACCGAGAGGAAGAGTCAGGAAAGGGCTGCGTGAGTATACCAACAAAAATCAAGAGTTGAAGCGAAGATTTTCGTACAAAACCAAATGGTTCATTTAACGATACTCGCGTTCCCCATAATTTGGTTCGTAGAATCGAAAACAATTCGTACTTTTTCGATCGGACTTCTCATTCAAAAGTTATGGACTAGAAACCAATTTCGAAAGAAAATTCCAAGGGCTGTAACTTTTGAACTAGCAGCCCAATCTTTGAACGGTTTGAAATTATGGATTCTACAGGCCACATTCTATAAGAAATTTTTTTTCCGGGTCGATCTGAGACAATTTTTTTTTCGGGGCTCAAAAAAAGGCAGTGTATAACCTTCCTTTTTTACCAAAAATCGACTACACCAAAATTTCTCGGGAAAACACTTTTTCTTATTAATGTTGGTGCGTAGAATCCAAAACAATTCGTACTTTTTCGATCAGACTTCTCAATCAAAAGTTATAGACTAGAAACCAATGTCGAAAAAAAATTCAAAGGGCTGTTACTTTTGAACTAGTAGCCCAATCTTGGAACTGTTTGAAATTATGGATTCTACAGGCCACATTCTATAAGAAATTTTTTTTCCGGGTCGATCTAGACAATTTTTTTTGGGGCCCAAAAAAGGCAGTGTATTACCTTATAACCTTCCTTTTTTACCAAAAATCTACTGCACCAAAATTTCTCGGGAAAACACTTTTTCTTATTAATTTTGGTGAGTAGAATCAAAAACAATTCGTACTTCTCAATCAAAAGTTATAGACTAGAAACCAATTTCGAAAGAAAATTCAAAGGGCTGTAACTCTTGAACTAGTAGCCCAATCTTGGAACTGTTTAAAATTATGGATTCTACAGATCTATTAATTTGCTTTGAAAAAATATATTTGATGCGATAGAAAAGTTCCACCCCTCCAGATGGATGTGAAGGTAATAAGTAAGCTTGAATGTTGTAAAAAAAAATGCACAAGTTCAAAATGGCGAGAGTTGAAATTGGTATGCACAAATAAAGGGTTGATTGTAGACCCCTTAAACATACTCAATTGAAGAATCAAATTTACAGGATGCCCATTATGAATTGGAATATAATATATCTCGGTAAATATCGACTGTATACAAAATTTTTCTGTATGAAAGTTGTTTAATATCAGTTGTTTTGATTTCAGAAAACAAATGAGTAACGAAAAACAATTGAATTTTTTAATTAGGAATGCGCCCTTTCATTTGTCTCATCTGATAGAGATTTTTCTTCTTTTTTCGATGGCATGTAACATGTTAGTACCTTTATATCAGGCTTTATACAAAATAAGTTTTCAAACAAATTTATTATAATTATTACATCAATAACATTCATCAAAATAAAACAAATGAATGTGTACGTTTCTTATTTTTAAACCTTGAACATTACATGAATTAGCAATAATTGCTGCAGCAATTTCTCCCAGAATACTCGGGGACATTCATTTCAAGCTTTCCATGATAGGTTAGTTCACTGCTTTGCAGTTGATAATAAAAATATTTTGAACACTTATTGCGTTGCAAACCATTTTATTGCTAATTTGATTTTGTCTTCAAGGTTTAATAAGAAACGTACACGTTCATTTGTTTTATTTTGATGTAGGATATCTAGATTAATGTTATTAATGTAGATAATAATTTTTTTGAAAAATTTTCTTTTATTAGGGTACTAACATGTTATATCATCTAAAAGAGAAAAAAAATCTGTATCAAATGAGCCTAATGAAAAGGTGCACTGCCATTTAAAAAATTCAATTGTTTTTCGTTACTGATTTGTTTTCTGAAATAAAAACCACTGAATGCTGCCTTATTATAGGAAAAAATGTTAAACAACTCAATTAAATCATTATATTAAATACTCAATTAAAAAATATATGTTTGATGTGGTACAAAAGTTCCACCCCCCTAGTAGATGTGAATAAGTAGGGCCGAATTTTGTTACACATTTCCTAATTCCAAAAAACAAGAGTTTGCAATTTGTGTGCACAGTTGTTGAATTGAAATTACGGGAAACCGGGCACAGCACAATTTTTATTTCCTTCGGCACTATTATGTATAGCACACTAGGAGCACAATGCAGCACAAAGTAGAAAATTTGAATTAAAGTAAGTGAGAGACCAGGAATAACCGGATTTAGGAATATGGGAAAATAGGCATATAGGAAGTCTCGTTGGTGGTGATATCGAGAATGGATTTCTTTTTGCTAAACGGTATAAAATTAGACTAAGGTAATTTTTTAATTAAACATTGTCCTATAGGGTAATGAATGGGTGCGGCTGTTTATTATCTCTTTCTTTTCTCCAGAATCAATAAACATGTCCTACTTACTATGGATTTTCTGGACGGCAAAAGCAAACAAACACAGCCTTAAATTAAACTTGAAACAGGTACACTCGCTCAATTTCAAGATATGTCTGTAAAAATTAGATTAAAATTAGAAACAAGCCGAAAATGTTTGAAAACTCGCTACAATATAGTTATAAAAGAGCACGGCCTTTTTGGTGTCTTTGCAAGTGGATTTATGAATTAAAAGCTGTCTATCTTTCCAGATTTAAAACTTCAAGTCTTTTTGAAATGAATTAAAATCCTTTAGACACAATATAAAAATGAAATAAGATAAAAGCGTCAAAATGGAACTGCAAGCTAAAAATTGAATCCAATTCCGTTGCCTATTGCAAAATCCAAAGCCTCAAGCTCAAATAAAAGATTATCAAAGTGCTCGTGTGAGATTTAGGGGACTTTAGCACATTTTTGTGTGGCAGATCAGATCAGTACTGTATTATTCAGTTTTGACTCTACCATCAGTAAGATCTTGTCGAGTTCTACCACATTCGTTTTGTCGGTACCCACTTACGACGTAGTTGGGGGCGTTCTTCCTTCGCATATATCCTTTTTAGGACTTACCGAGAACCTTCACATGTTCTACAACTTCTTTCCTCCGACCCTTTTTTATGGTTTCTTTCATAGTTATGTAGAAAATCCTTTGTAAATGCCAGAACTAGCGTCGGTTCTTCCAAATTTGAAATTGATTTGGTAACGCTCTGTAATATTCTGCTGTGTATATGAGAACGCTGTTGAGAGAAATGAGTCTAAAATTTGGTGCAGATTTGGCAATTTAGTAATAAAGGCATACCTCGAAGGGAAAACCGTAGAAACGCATTTCTATCTTTCCATTACACAAGGAATGATAAAATCACTGACGCCACTCAATAGATAATTGGCAATTTTTTTACGTGCATTGAATGTTGCAAAATTGAATGAAGCAAGGTTGCATAACTCTCGCTTCCGTTAGTAGAATTCTCACTTACACAAAATACCACCTAGCAATTACACTGATGATAATAATTTATTACAAATTATCTAGGAAAACACAAAACGTTGAAGTAGTTAGTGGTGTAACTTCGGATGAATTTTTCCGATTAGATCTTTGGAGTGATAAATTATAAAATCGCTTTTCGCTCGAATTCTTCCACGCCTAAATATGAACAATATACAATTATGTTGTATTTGGCGCTTAACGGGATAATTAACATTAATTGCTTAATCCCTTAATCTTCACGATCATAATCCTATTGCCTTTGAAAAGACATGTCTCAGAATGAATTTTGTGAATGCGATATTCTAATACCTAGTCATGTTGCTTACAGATATTTTCAAAATGAGGGAGGATCCAACCCAGCCTCTGAAGAAAACTGGAAACAAATTACCACAGTACATTGCGGCATTATCAGGTATAGACTTTTGATTTTATTGGAATAGCCGCTTTGGTTTTTAATTAAGTTTTAATCGTAATCGTAAAGAAGCGAATTTTGAAAATTGAAATTCTCCTTCATAAATCATAAGGTCCGGGAAATACATACGTATCAGATCTATACAGAAGAGTAGGTAGGACGTGATAGGGTCCTCCACCCTTTTTGGCAAACAGAACTCAATGTTGGTGTAAAGAATGGCCCAGAATATTTTCATTGGTATTTTTGAGTACGAAAAATCCCGGTAATTAGAAATATTAATTACGGTCATCACTCCAAGAAAATCATTTTTGATCTCTAGGGATTAATAAAAACAATCGTCCAATAAGATGTTAAACTATCTTAGATTTTTAAACCTGTAATTTTAATAATAATTTTCTGAAGAAATAATAGAAATAGAAATGAAGATGTTTTTCGAGAACCCGATATTCATTAAGTAGAGGACCCCCTACAAATATTAGCCCAGGGCCCCCTGAGGCCTCGGTCCGCCCCTGGCGGGAATTCCCACTGCGACATTTAAAATAATAGGACAATAGCCCCCATTTAACTAAAAGTCAGCGGTTCTCAATAAAATTTTAATATTTCAAACGCCAAATTGTAGTGCTCGTATTAATCGGCCCATTTCCTTAATAATCGATATATTTAAAATGTAGTTCCTTAAGGAATGCGTCGATAGGACATTAACGACAATAATCGTGTTGATACAATATTAATGTATTAATTAAACATTCCAAGTAGTTTCCCCAATTACAATTTGGCGTTTGAAACATTAAAATGCGCTACAAAGCCTTTGGCGGTGTATGAGGTGTTTTTGGTAGAATTAAACAGTGCTCTATGAAGTGTCAGATGGCCCCCTCTCAGGGCCGTAGCCAGAAGGGGACAAGAGTCCGTTCTTGGAACCCACGTTGTCACCCCTTGAATGTTGCTTATATGACATAATATAGCATGCTCATAATGATGATCAAATATGAAGAAAGATCCTTGGAAATTATGTCAACTATTAAAATTGGACAATTTCACGTTTGGGTATTTGTGTACTTTCTCTGTACAGGGGACTGAATTTGGTTGTTAGTATGGGGTAACTCTTAAACTATAAGTACCTAATAGAAAAAGATGACCTCACAGCCTTGGTGTATTTTTTGAGATAAACTCAATGTTGAAAACCAAAGTGACATATACTTTTTTATTTTTGAGTTGTGGGCAAAAGTGGCATTTTTCGGTTTTTAGAAAAAGCCTATAATTTTTTTTATTATTTTATTGAAATGTGTTTATTACAAATGATTGTTTGCATAATCTACCGTTTTCAAAATAAGCCAGATTTTTTTTAAAGGGAACACCCTGTATATTTTAATCTAAATAGACAGCATATTAAATACTCTTTTTGAAAGTACAGCACATCATGGATACTAAAAAAGATTCAAGCGATTAAAAAAATTCATCACAGATTAAAAAAGGGCCAAATGATCCAATAAAAATTTAAAAAATGTGGTTAGGTGCGATAACTTTTTTACCTGACGCCGTCAACTTATTGCAAAGAAACTTTTGTAATAAACACATTTCAGATAACTGTATTTTCCAAGAAAAACGAAGTTGTACAGCGGGTGGTGTTTGTGCGGAATACAACTTATTATTTCGCCCGCCCGCTCTTGGTAATCAATCTGGCTACGGCCCTGTCCCCTCTTTAGACAGCGGAATTTGATATGATAAAAAATTAATCTTAAAACCGATAAGTGGATTACATTGTTTCATGCGTTTTAACCATTTACGTACAAAAATGTTATGGCATTTTTGGGTAACCTTTTGGAGTTCTAGTTCCGAATCGACCAACTTGGCATTAAAATACATATTCAGTCAGGTGCATTAATTGAATGTTCTATCCAGAGCTTTCCACAACCCCAACAACCCATTCATTTCCAAGGAAATGAAAGGCAATACCCACACAAAATGCAAAGTTCTGTAAGTGTGGGACCAAGTTCTCACATTCAGGAAACTGTCTGTCGTTACGTTGTTTTCGCGTATATTTAACCTTTGGAGTTGCTGTAATGATTAGGGACGAGCGACAGATAAGATTACTTTAGTCGAATAATTGAAGGGATGGTGTTTCTACGTATTGAATGGTGTTTCCTTTCACAAAAGCTAATAACAATTGTTTATTTTTTACAGTATGCCTTGGTTCCGTGGCAACCGGCGCCGTACTTGGCTGGACGTCAAATATTTCCGAAGCAATGAAAGCGGGAGCCTACAATGGTATACCAATAGACGATGACAACTTGGGATGGATTGGATCCTTTGCAACCCTAGGCGCAATGTGCATGTGCTTCCCCATCGGTATACTGTGCGACCTGATCGGAAGAAAGGTGGCCATGCTCATCCTCACCGTACCCTTCGTCATCGGATGGCTGTTAATCATTTTCGCAAATTCCGTCGGTATGATTTACGCGGGGCGTTTTATAACTGGATGCGCAGGCGGCGCCTTCTGCGTATCCGCGCCGTTGTACACCAGCGAGATTGCAGAGAAAGAGATTCGAGGCGCCCTTGGAAGCTACTTTCAACTGCTGTTGACCGTCGGCATCCTGTTTTCGTATATAATCGGCTTCGTCGCAGACATTAAGACGTACACGATCATAGTGGCGATTCTGCCCTTGGTGTTTTGCGTCGTCTTCTTCTTCCAACCCGAGACACCCGTCTACAGGATGAAACAAAAGCGAGAAGGCGACGCCAGGGCTGCCCTCATCCGTCTACGCGGGAAGGAGTATGATGTCGATGCCGAGTTGAAAGAAATTCGAGAAACGCTAGAGGCGGAAGAGAAGAATAGAGTGTCATTTATAACCTGCATGAAGACAAGGAGTGCGAAAATAGCGTCAATTGTCTGCTTCAGCCTCATGTTCTTCCAACAGGCCGGCGGAATAAACGCCGTCATTTTCTACACCGGTGACATCTTCAAATCTTCAGGGTCTTCTTTGGATCCGGGCGTTGCCACAATTATCTGCGGAGTAATCCAGAGCATCTCCACGTTTGTCTCGTCACTGATCATTGACAAACTGGGACGAAGAATTCTACTGATACTCTCCGATCTTTTAATGGTAGTGTCCGGGGTGGCGTTGGGGATTTTCTTCTCGCTTAAAGAGCGCGAGTTGGTCGATAAAGAGACGCTTTCCACCCTGGGATTCCTGCCCATAGTCTCTCTTTCAGTTTTCTTCATTGTATTTTCGCTAGGCTTCGGTCCAATTCCCTGGATGATTTCTTCCGAGTTGTTTCCGTCAGAAATCAAAAGTGTTGCCAGTTCCGCGGCGGGGACTTTTAATTGGTTTATAGCATTTTTGATAACCAAGTTTTATCTCAGTTTGAAAAACGCCGTCGGTGGCGATGTTACATTTTACATTTTTTCGGTTATATCCTTAATTGGTACCATCTTCTGTGTCTTTGTCGTGCCCGAAACGAAAGGGAAATCTTTGGAAGAAATCCAAAGAGAGCTCAACAAAGAGAAATAGTTTAGTATTAGTGATATGTAAATTATGTCCAGATGAGACTGAGTAATGTGCATATAAGATTACTTGATTATTTTCTTACCCATGCAACTTATTTATTTGTAGATTTTAATACTTTATAATAAATAGATTGCCAAAGTCATGCGGTTATCATTCTCTCTCATCGCGATAGTCGAATCGAAACGTCGATGTGATTAGAGGAGATACTTTATCACCATAACTATAAGTACCAAGTACAATTGTGTGAAGGTTTCTTTTGTAGTTTATCGCTTAATAGCCGAATTAAAGACAGGTGAGTATTCTGAAAAATAATTTTTACTTTGATATACGTTCTTTCTCATTTATGTGCACCATGTAGCATTTGCGATCAATTATTAGTGGGGGCAAGCATTTCTTGTCAGTTGGACTTAAAGAAAAATTGTTGGTTGGGAACTTCAAAATACGCTAATAATGCAAATCTGATCGACTGTACTTGAGGAAAGTTTCCATTGTTTTATTAGTAGGTAATTTTTGAACATTACAAACAAAAAACCTTCAAAAAGTAGGTATATTATTATTACTATACTGTTTTGACTACCTTATTTCTAAAGGCAAACCCAACAAAAGTATTACCTACATAACTATTGCTGACCTTGTCCACCTTTTTGAAAGAACCGAGGCGTACATCTTGGACTCCCATTTTATCCGACGCACTAAACCTATTTACTGGGAGAACATTTGATGTCTCACGAGTTACGAATCTAAGATTGTGATTTTTCTAATTCAATTAAGAAATCAGATCCTTATTTAGCACCCGAAGCAACATACATACGGTTTTCATTTTAACACGGAATCGAAATTGTAATTTTCATTAAAAAAAATGCAAAAACTCCCCATTTAGAATAAGCTAGGCGAAATTTAAATGGAAAGTTAAGTTTTACCTTAGTTTTAGCATTCATCCTCGCTACTACCACATTTAAATTGTATTATGAACCCCCCCCCCCACTTTGCTTTTGATTAGCGAGTTACTTAAAATAGTCGAAGTTTCCTACATTTTGGTATTATGTAGCAAGGGTGGGTGAGGTCAAGTTTGGGGCGATTTACGACAAAGCATTAAAATTCTTGTAATTGATTCTAAATGTACGCACATCAACCCTTAAAATTTGTCAATAGAATTTGGACATATACATTTTGTAAGTGTGACGCATTTCAGTGTCATGTAGTAAGGGTGGACTAGACCATTTTGAGAATGATTAGCGATCAACAGTTCAATAATTATTATGATGATGAAAATTCAATTATCCTTTCCCTACAGTCATCATTATCACCATGATACCAATCGTATACTCATATAAATAATCTTGCTATGCTGGGGGTTATTCCATACCCCCCACTGCCTTTGAATATAAAATTAGTTACCTACATTCAAAGTCGCTGCTACGTTTGATGGCGTTTTACAGACAACTGTAATAAGAGTGGTCGGGTAGACGGTTTTCAGGGAGAATGTAATAGAAGGCGTCTGGAATACCTACCCCATAACTTTGAATGTAAAATTAGAGTTATATTCAAAGCCCACAGTGAAATGAAGATTCAATTATACTTTCCCTACAATCATTAATACCATTAGATCATTCGTATACTCATATAAATAGTCTTCCTGTGCTGGAGGGTATTCCATACACATAGTTTAAAAAAAACTCGCGTTTTTCGTCGAAGTTTTCCTTTGGCTCATTACCTGTTCACTTGCAACGTATTATTTAATTTATTTCGCGAGCGAAGATAATGTCCTTTTCAGAAGACGTACAATTCCTTTTCATGAGGATCGTCTACGTCCTCTTCATCTTCTGCTAGGATTGGTGGATAGTTAAAACAGCTCCCTTGGCAGTTGGTACAGGCAATGGTGCAAAATATTTTGTACCAACTGCAAAGGAAGCTGTTTTAACTCTCCGCCAATCCTAGCAGAAGATGAAGAGGACGTAGACGATCCTCATGGAGAGGCATTGTACGTACATCTGAAAAGGACGTTATCTTCGCTCTAATTTCATTTCATTTTTGTTGTGGGTAAAGTCGAACTGTCAAAGTATAAACACCGCACATGTCAATAATTCTTGAAGGAAATTTAATTCCCTACTTGTACGTTAAAAGTGAACAAGTAATGAGCGACAGCATAGTTTCACAACGGGGGCGAAACCGCTCCCCAGTGGGCGCTGGAGAATGCCAGAGGGTCAGTAGAGGCGCTCTGGAGTAAGTGGGGGGTGGTTGATTAAGTAACATACAGCGGAATGGTCATGGCTCTCCTACTGAAACGGTCCGAGGTATTAGTTTCAAGTTTGGAGGACTTCCAATGAGACATTCTTATACATGTTTCGGAATGAAAAAGAAATGTCCTCAGTACAACAATTTTCAGGGTGTCCGCCATCTTGAATTTTTTTAATGACAACAAGGGTCTTGTTTTCTTTTTCTATAGATTTTTTTGCTCTATATTTCTGAATGGGTAGTGTTTCAGCCAGGGCTCTACCAACCCAACCCGCTATATAACTTACAAATGTCCATGCCCCAACGTGGATTCGAACCAGGGACCCTTAGTACCGCAGTACTGCGCCACATGGGCCGAATGTAATTTTTTTTAGAAAATATCGAAAAAAATTAAATTTGTTTATCTGACCTAAACTAAAGAATGAAGGCTCTCCTCCTAGAATAGTTCGAGAAATTGATTTACAGTTTGAAGGACTTTAAAAAAGACGTTATGCATATTTCAGAATGAAAAAGAAATTTAAATGACTCATGTTGCCATTTAAGAAAAGTCATTATGGCACCGCCTTCAAAATTGGGGTAATGAAGACATTTCTATTTAATTCCCAAACATGTGTAACATGGGGGGATATTAGTTTTGAAGTAATTTAAGAAGTATATATTACTAGCAGTGTGTGCCAGTGTATCTACCGAAAAGTCAATCAAAAGTACAAACCTAACTATGCTTAAACGACTAGGGGGCGGTAGCTATTTTTTTTCTCCTTAAGGGGGCGATGATGCTTCAGAAAAGGTTCGGAATCTATGAGCTAGATGAAAACTTCGACCGAAAACGTCAGTTTTTGTGAAATTGGTCACCTTCAAGAGCCCGTAGCCGGAAAACAATGCATTTTTTTTTTTAAATTAATAGAAACAAAGTTGTGGACAATTTTATGATATTTCGACATTGATAAGAAATTTTTTTCTACGACCATTGGCTAGCGGATAGTGCAAGGATGAATGCTAAAACTAAGTAACAATTTCAATTAAACTTCCCTCTAGATATCTAAATGGACGTGCTTTAGTAATTTTTGATTGTTTATCCAAATAGTTCGTTTTGATATAAAAACCTTATATAGGTATTAAACCTTCTCGGCTATTAAATACCATAAAGGAACACTAATAGCTCGCGTTTAGACATTTTTGTGACACTTAAACAAAACGAAACTATTAAAAGAATCATGAAATACCAACCTAATCTATGCAAATCTAGACTAATTTTCAACACTCTACCTAATACTCTGCTCATCAAAAACCTAATGAGTCAGAATCTACTAGGCCAACAGAATTGGGGCAACTTTTCATATAAAATCTGCCCCAACACAAGCTCTGTCGCCGGTTGGGCCGCCGTTGATTAGTCGCCTCTTACGACATGCAGTGCCTCTGCAGTAGGGGTATTCTTTCCCGCCCTTACACGGGTAAAAATGATATTTTCAGTCTGTTGCAGATAACGTCGAATGGGATCCGAATTTTAAAATGTTTTTAACTGAATTCTCCACCTCCACCACCCATATCACAAGAATTACATTCTAACTCCAAGGGCCGGTTTTTCACGTTTCAGTTAAAGCTACCTGGAAATTAACTGTCAGATACGTTTAACTAAAACATGAAAAGCCGATTCTTGATCTCAAAAGGTTTTCTTCTAAAAGTGGTCTATTATTATTATTCACTGAATCATATGGAGAACCTTCCCAGAATGGTTTATGGACCTAATTTTTGGATTGTTACATTCAATCATACGAAAAACGGTAATAAAATAAATTGCACGTATTTCGTGGTGTAGGTAACGGCATGAGTTCAAGATAAACTTATATTTTTAATGTTACTAAAGTACGTAATTAACGTCAATTACAAAAAGCCATTAAAAACAACACAAATTATTGCAAAAACGTACATTAGCTAATGTAAAAAGCATTTGGATGATGAACGTCGCATAAAAGTATTATTTATGTATCTGTATCTCCAACCGACAATGTTCGATTAGATAAAGACAGCATCACTTGAACTCGCGATACGATGGTGTGCTACAATGGCAAAGAATAATTATAGCGAAAATAATCCATAACATATTTTAGCTACATTAAAATGAGGCAGAACAAAGCGAAGAAGCTTCCACAGTACCTTGCGGGTATCTCAGGTGAGTCCATAGCTTAACCGCTCCAAAATCAGTAAGCTTTGATTTTAGTTTGCATGGGAGCGATGGCTGCAGGTACCGTTTTGGGTTGGACGGGAAACATTTCAAAAGAACTGGAGCTGGGCGCGTTAAACGACATAACTATAGACGAAGCCGATGTAGGTTGGGTTGGCTCCATATCAAACTTGGGAGGACTGCTGGTGTGTTTTCCCATAGGGATTATATGCGACTTCATAGGAAGAAAGAATGCAACCTTACTACTTACGGCACCTTTTCTACTCGGATGGATACTTATTCTATTCGCACAAAACTTAGCCATGATCTTGGCTGGAAGATTTATTGTTGGTATGGCAGGGGGAGCCTTTTGCGTAGCCGCTCCCTTGTATACAAGCGAAATAGCCGAGAAAGAAATTCGAGGCACTTTGGGAAGCTTCTTCCAGCTATTCGTCACGTGCGGAATTATGCTGTCTTACATTTTGGGCTACGCAGTGAGCGTCAAAGTCTTCACAATTGTAATGACTGCAATTCCCATCATTTTTTGCGTTTCATTCGCCTTCCAACCCGAAACACCAATATACAGACTCAAGCAGAAAGACGAAAAGGAGGCCAGGTACAGTCTGAAACGCCTGCGCGGAAGCAACTACGACCCCTCACACGAAATACAAGAACTTAACGCCGTCTTAGACGAATTGAAAAACAACAACGTGAAGATAAGCGATTCGCTCAAGAAACGGAGCACTAAGATCGCCGCAATTGTCAGTTTCAGTCTCATGTTCTTTCAGCAGGCTGGTGGTGTTAACGCCGTGATTTTTTACACCAGCGATATCTTTACGGATTCCGGCTCCAGTCTGGATCCAAAAGAAGCCACGATGATTGTGGGCGCCATTCAAATAATCGCCACCTTCATCTCCTCACTCGTCATCGACAAACTGGGTCGTCGAATTCTTCTTCTAACATCGTCACTTTTCATGGCTGTCGGTCTTTTAATTTTAGGCGCGTTCTTCTCTTTGAAACTCCGAGGCTTGGCCGACGCCGAAACGCTAGAGACCCTCGGTCTTCTTCCAATCGTCGGATTGTGCGTCTTTATAATCGCGTTCTCCTTAGGATTCGGGCCAATTCCGTGGATGATCGCATCCGAATTATTTCCATCCGAAATTAAAAGCGTCGCAAGCTCGATAGCTGGCACGTTAAATTGGCTTATGGCTTTTCTCATTACCAAGTTTTACGGTGACATGTCGGCGAGTCTAGGGGGGGACGTCACGTTCTACATATTTGCGGGAATATGCCTGATTGGTATAGTATTTGTCTTCTTTGTCGTGCCAGAGACGAAGGATAAGACATTAGCTCAAATTCAAAGAGAATTGAACAAAGAGACACTTGGGGGAATAGACAATTGCGGCTTTCAAGATAAAAAATAAGTTATAACCTTGCACCTAGTTCAAAGAGGGCTGTAATCTTTGAAAATTCCAATTGTGATTTGTAGTCAAATAAGTAGTGTATTTTCACATTATTTTTTACTTTATATACGAAAGGAATTTTTTAAGTGATTATGTTTGTGCTAACCATGAACCAAGGTATTGTGCCATCCCAACATAAATCACTCGAACATGCATTCACTCACTATGTGCATCTGCATACTCCCTCATACTTTATTGTTGATATAGGCTAATTAGTAATAAACATTTTACGTTCAATTCTGACCGAAAGTTGAGAAGATTTTCACGATAAAAATAATTTGTTTGAAAATTTTAATAAAATTGTACGAAATCTGACTATTCTCAATGCGAGTTTTATAACCTTACCAGATTATTGGTTCATCTCAAGCCAGATATACGAGTAGCTAACTAGATAGGTACGTCTCTGAATGTGCATAACTAACAATTATTGTGAAAATTTTTCGTATACAGTTTAATTGTGTTCCTCTAATAAACATCGTCGACATCGTGTATAATACAAAACTTTAGTCCTGACTTTAGTTTATAGCAGAAGCCAGAATGAAACTAGCTGCCAATTTTGAAAGTTAATTTTTTCAAATAGAACATGCTTTATTTCTTTTTGCACTTTCAAATGTCGAAAATATTCTACATCGATCAATTATTCCATTCCCTAAATGCACCTATCTGTTATGATTTTCGGTTTCTATTAGATTTTCTATCATAATAAATTTTCCAAAAGTACTACCAGTCTTCCACAAGGTAAACATATAAATTCAGTGTTTTTCAATAATTCTGGCAACCCTCTGGCGCCCTAACAAAATTATGTTAATTACTTTAATTAAAGACTATGTAAAGACGACGTAAAAAAGTGCACTTTTTATTTTTTGAGTGAAAGTGTACTAAAAATTACATAAAAATGGATTGGATTGCTCAAAAAACCTATGATACACATTTACACGCTAGTTTTGATAGTATACGTAAAGAGAAAATTTCGGTGACAGACGTTTACTAATAATTGCACAAAATTTGTCGTTATCTCTTGATCTATTAGTTTTTGTTGTTTTTGTCAGCGAGTTTTTGCATTGCAATTTCGAAATCTGTGTACCCGATTTACTGTAGGATGTTATTTTTAACGCGATTCTGAGAAAATTTTCTAACTTTCAGTTCTTATATTTAGGGAAAATGGAAATTTTTGGAATTGAATAAAAAATCAGGTGCGTGGAATCCATAATTGTGGGCCCTTAAGGGCATAAAAATGGACCAACATTCGCCATCACAAAAAATACGCTCCCTTATTTATTGAAATCTCGACTTGCATTTCTGTTAGACAGGAAACATAGGAGCGTGTAGTGTAAAAATTTGAGTCACCTGGCACTTCCGGTGCCAGAAGTGCCCTACCCCAAAGTTGAGGTTACTTTTAATAGATAGAAAAAAAATTCAAAGGGCTGTAACTTTTGAACTAGTAGCCCAATCTTGGAACTGTTTGAAATTATGGATTCTACAGGCCACATTCTATAAGAAATTTTTTTTCCCGGGTCGATCTGAGACAATTTTTTTTTCGGGGCTCAAAAAAGGCAGTGTATAACCTTCCTTTTTTACCAAAAATCGACTACACCAAAATTTCTCGGGAAAACACTTTTTCATATTAATTTGGGTGCATAGAATCCAAATCAATTCGTACTTTTTCGATCAGACTTCTCAATCGAAAGTTATAGACTAGAAACCAATTTCGAAAAAAAATTCGAAGGGCTGTAACTTTTGAACTAGTAGCCCAATCTTGGAACTGTTTGAAATTATGGATTGCGTTTCTGTTGGACAGAAAACATAGGAGCGTGTAGTGTAAAAATTTGAGTCACCTGACACTTCCGGTGCCGGAAGTGCCCTACCCCAAAGTTGCGGTTACTTTTATTAGATAGCCCTAGGTGGCTGATGTTTTTAAACAACTTCCTACTTCGGAACACTCCTGAAGTTGAGGTTACTTTTCTTATGAATCTAGGTCCATGTAACTGACTGACCCAAGTTGATATTTTTTATAAACTGCCCTCTCAGTCACTTGCTAGATATTACAAAGTCATTCGTTAATTAGTATAATATAAGTTTACAAAAACCAAAAATTTGTTGATTTGTTTATCAATCATCAGTTAAATAGAGGACTATCCCTACGCTACTCTTGAAATAATTAACACTGTAAATAATAAAAAATCGTTAAGCCGCTTGTGGGCAACAGGCGAAGAGTGCACTTTCAAATTTGTTTTTTCGATTTTAATAGCCCTCATGGACCTTTTATGCCAGAATACAAACATGAAATAATTTTTAATTTCTGAGCGAATGATAGCAATACCGAGTCTGTAACTGTAAGTGGTGTAGTTCCGGAGCTTTTGAGACTCAGACAGACATATCAAGAGCGCAAAAGTGCACTTTTTATTTTTGAAAGTGAAAGTGGACTAAAAACACTATAATATGCTCTACACAAGCAATGTTCTCAACTATATTTATGCTGTTTTCAAGGAAATGCGGAGTCTTAAATACAGGAGTATCCAATTATAAATAAAATTACTTTAATGTGCTTACAAAATCAAATAACAAAAAATGCCAATAATAAACATTTAAATGTTTCTTATAGGTTTCTCGATCTTCTGAAGAACGCTACCCTTTTACTTCTCTTCACGGCCAATCGTCTCGTCAATATTTCAGTGTTGTACTTAGTAAATGGTTGCCGTTCTTCCTACAAGTACATCCTCCTTTACACCATTTCTCCCATTGAGCACTGTTCCATTTCGAGCTACTTTTATTAGGCGATACCTTTCATATAAGAACCAGCGTTCTGAAATTGCGGTGAATTTGCCCCTTGGAAAACATGCAAGATTACCATCACGTTCCAGGTGACAAGGAAGGTCTTCTTATGTTCCTAGTTATCCAGGAAAAATAAATCATCCAAATTGATTACCTCCTGAAATTGATACATTTCAGTTTTTTGTCATTGCAGGATTACAATTATGTTCTACCTGTATCCATGCGGTGAACCAAATAAATAAGGGCTTGGCGCTTGGAAAACATTAATAAGATTCTAAAAAAACAAGGTTAAAAGTTATCAATTATTTCTTATGATATTAATAACAGCTCGAAAAATTACAGATTTCCACAAAAGCAAAAATTGATCAAGATTTATTTTCGTCATTCCGTGATGATAAAAATTAAGAATCAGATCTACCAGAATACCTCCCCTTCTCGTATCTACAACAAATCTGTTTCTTTAGGGATAAAATATTCTCGTATCTTTTTTGTTTTACAAAATGTTAACAAAACTCCCTTTGAGTGTGCAATAATTGAATAAAAAATTAATGGTAATTCTACTAATACCAACACCGCCATTGATTTTGTGTGAATTTAACTATATTTTATTCCATCTAATTAACAGCAGCGTCTCGTCTAGATTGTGTGAAAATGTCATCCACGAAGAGGGGGAATTGAGAAACAATTGATTGAAACCCGTGGATTGTAGATCGTGGAAAAAACAAATATTTGGATTCTCCCTCTTCATAAATTCATAGGTCTAAATTTGATAAAACTATTATCCGAAAAGCACAGGATTTAGTATAAATAAAACAATCTCAACTTAATGTAACACAACCCATTTATTTGTAGATTTTATTATTTTGCAATAAACAGAGTTTGCGGGCAACGGATGCAAACTTCCAAAATGTCTCCAAATAACTCAAAAAAGTATCCACAGTATCTAGCCAGTATTGCAGGTGAGTCCAAAATTTAACCATCCCCATTCCATTAACTCTCCAATTTCAGTTTCTTTGGGAGCGATGGGTACAGGTACTGTCTTTGGGTGGACGGGTAATATTTCGCAAGAGCTGCAAAGTGGTGAGCTGAACGGTATAGTGATGGATGCGGTCGACATGGGATGGGTCGGTTCCATTTGTAATTTGGGCGGAATGGTCGTGTGTTTTCCGATTGGGATACTCTGCGACGTTGTGGGAAGAAAGTTTGCGACTTTATTGCTTACCGCGCCTTTTCTACTTGGATGGCTGCTTATAATATTCGCTAGGAACCTTGCGATGGTCTTGATAGGCAGATTTCTGGTTGGTATGGCGGGTGAGGCTTTTTGTATAGCAGCTCCATTGTACACCACTGAGATAGCGGAGAAGGAGATCCGAGGCACTTTGGGAAGCTTTTTTCAATTATTCGTTACGTTCGGGGTTATGCTGTCTTACATTTTGGGGTACGCGGTTAGTGTAAGGGTTTTTACAATCGTAGTCGCTTTGCTTCCGGTCATTTTCTGTGTTGCTTTTGCCTTCCAACCAGAGACACCATTGTACAGACTCAAGCGAGAGGACTATTGTGGAGCGGAAGACAGTTTTAAATGGTTGCGTGGACGTGAGTACGACGCAACTTGCGAAATACGTCAGTTTAAAGCCACTTTGGACGCACGCGATAACAATGTCACAACGTGGGCCTCCCTGACGAAGCGCAGCACCAAAGTAGCAGCAGTTGTGAGTTTCAGCCTCATGTTCCTTCGACAAGCCGGCGGTTCACTTGCCGTCATTTTCTACACCAGCAACATTTTTAAAGATTCTGGTTCTAATTTAGATCCGAAAGAAGCGACGATGATTGTCGGTGCCATCCAAATTGTCGCAACGTTAGCGTCTTCTAGCGTTGTTGACAAATTGGGTCGCCGAATTCTTCTCATGGTATCGTCATTCTTTATGGCCATCGGCCTGATAATCTTAGGCGCCTTCTTCTCGATAAAACACAGAAATCTAGTCGACGAGGAAACAATCGAAAAGTTCGGCTTCCTCCCTGTCCTCGGCCTGTGCCTCTATATAATTGTATACGCTTTAGGTCTTGGACCAGTTCCATGGGTGGTTACAGCGGAATTATTTCCGCCAGAAATAAAAGGCGTAGCAATTGCGGGTGCTGCTACGTTTAACTGGCTTATAGCGTTTATTATCACGAAATTTTACGGCGATATGTCGGCGAATTTAGGTGGCGACGTCACCTTTTACATTTTTGCCGGGATTTGCTTACTGGGGGCCATATTTGTCTTCTTTGTGGTGCCTGAGACAAAAGGTAAATCGCTGATTCAAATACAGAGGGAATTAAATAAGCAGCCTCCTAATAAAATCGGATTTTAAAATTGTTCATGTTTTCTAGGCAAATTCTCACTTGAAATATTTAACGAATCTCCAAACCTACTTTATTGCCAGTCTATTTGCAAAAATTTGGTGATATCCATTGGATGGTGGAATTATTTCATAAGGTGGCGTCTAAGTTTAATTTATATTAAAAAGATTTGTGCCTAAAGGATCACCTTTCTCAAAATATCACACCTGAAATTATATGGCATGTGTTCATTTTAAATACTCACATATAAATACAGATTTTATTTAAATGACAAACCAGGCTATGATTATGTACGTATAGTTACCTATAATAAAATTATAAATTTATTGTAAAGTTATGTTATAAAGTTAAAGTAAATAATTTATCAAAGAAAACGAAATTATTGTATTTGATTTATAGCACCAGGCACTTTAACGCATTTGCCAACAACGAGGGCCATATCTCAAGAGTGCAAGAAAATTTTTTAAAAGAAACAAGAGAACAATATATCTCTTCTTAGTTTCAGAATGTTCCAAAGCATTTCAGACAGTTTTCAGGAGTATGGAAGTAGTTTTACATAGAGCAGAACTTTCAGGTGGTTTCATAAGTTTTGAGAGTCATGAGAATTTCGGAAGACTTTAAAGGGTTTCCGAGGGTTAAGGGTTGTAGAAATGTTCAGAGTTTTTTAAAACGATTTAGGGTGTTTCAGAAAATTAGAAAGTATTTCAAAACTTTCAGAGACTTTGAGAATGCTTTATCGCGATTTTATTGAAGTTCAGAGGACTCCAGAACGTCTCAAAGCCGATTTTCATGCACTTGTGACCAGTTTCAGTACGCTTTCAAAATTTTTTTTAAGCCCTTTTCAGACTGTTGTAGAGATGCGAATGATTCAGTTCCGGAACTGTTGGAAAAATCTAAGAATTTTGAGATCTATTCCTCCGAAGATATTTTCTTAGAATTCTGAAATTGTTCTTTGTATTCGAATATATTTTTTTTAGAGTTCTAGAATTATCAGATTTTAATTGAATGTTGAATGAAATGTAATAGCTACATGAAAATGAGGTTAAATTACGTCAACCTTCGCTAAAAATTTGGCGCATTTGGGAAACTGTCCTATTTGGGGTAGATAATGCTATGTAACCGTACGTGTAACACATAATATCATGTGAAAGGGGTTGAACCGTCCATTTTAGTGAACACCAAATAGAATGTGCGACTGTTGTAGATCGTCAGCGTTAATTATGTCACCTCCATTTTTGTCGGGTTGATGCGGACAAGGAGTGTTTTCGAAGAATGACGTAGGGAACATTCCTTGTCTATTAATCCGAGCAAAAAGACTTTCAATTTGAGAGTTCTCCATGTGAGAGAGCAAGTCACTTTGGCATCCTTGCGTCTGAAAAAATAAGGGGCTATTGAATACCAGAGGTATTGAGAATGTCCAGTGACAGCAGGCACATGGTCACTGTAAAATTACCTCTAGGTTCGTTTCCCAGTACAGAAACACCCTTCAGATCGCATGGGTCACAGGGCATAATGGAACGGAAGATAATGAGAAAGGCGAGGAGTCATCCCGACTGGTCTCAAAACAGGTGTTTTATGGTCCAGAGCCGGCTTTTACATTGACAGTTGCAACTGTAAACAACTTAATAACTCTCCAAAACACCGAAACACAACACATAACTAAGGTAGTACCATTGAATTTATAACTAAATTCAATGGTAGTACAAAAGGCCCGAATTTGAGGTCTAGGTATGCCCTGCCCACCCTCCTATCGTAAACCAGATCCTCTCTGTTTCTAGTAGCCTCCTTGGAATGACTCTTTGAAACACCTTGAAGGTGCCTTTCTAGAACTCCCTATGAAATTCCCTGAATCTCTAAAAGTTCTTTCCTTTTTCCCTTTTGTAGAGTGTTGTGTGATCCAGTAGGTCTGTCAAATACGATTACAAGCTGCATTTCAAAAATAATCGACAGTTATCCAGAGCAATTAAATCATATCGTCCATGCAACGGTTTCCGCGCATTTCCAGGCCATTTTATCGCCTTTGCACATAATCCTGCTAGACCATTTTCTGGGCTTACGAAAGAGGTATATAAAGAGTGACCAAAAATTTTCAAGTCGGTGCTATAAATTTGAGAAAGTTGCCAAAAATGCATTGGTTGTGCTTTACAAAGCTTTAGAAAGAGCCTAAAATGTTCTGAGAACGCGATGGGAGTACCCTGGGAATTCTGAGACATTTTTATTGCATTAAAATGCAGTTAAAGGATCTGGAAAGCATTTAAAACACTTTTCATGATTTTCTAATTTTTCCAGAGCTTTCAAATGCATTCGTTTTGTAGAGTTTTCTAAATCTTTTCGAGGATTTCTTAGGTCTACATCGTTTTCAGAGCTAGTTAAACGAAAAAAGGTTTAGAAAAAGCGTAGTCCCTTCGGAATGACCATAAGGGTGCGTTCAAATACGGCGATAATCGCGCGATTCTCACGCGGCCGCGTCTGAACCATTTGGAACATCTTGATGCTTACTAATAATTTTTGGCACGCGAGGAATCACGAGTGCTGGTAGCACCGAAAACTCCAAGAGGGCAGTTTTCTAAGGGCAACCAGCACGAGGATTCTTCGCAAGGACAAAATTACCCGTTTAGTTAGGGCGTAGCGGAAGTGCAGCTCATTGGCCCTGAGTGATGCGGAATGCAAGAATATTGTTGCCTCGACGCTTTGCAACGAAAATTTTACTACATTGCTAGCTTTGAATTGGCTTGGGGAGGAGGAGAAGCCGCAGCTGCAGAAGTGAATTTTTACACGGCGACCTAAACAATTCCGGCGTCTAGTTCGGAACAACACCATATTTAGTAAGATCGCACAAGGTGGAAGTCGGAAACCAGCAGATAGCAAGTGGGTGGTAGCACGGCGAAGTCGGAATTTTGCTTTGTGAAGTACAAATGGTTATTCTTTTAATATCATCTGACTAAGTCAGGTTATTCAAGAAGTTCCTGTGCAAGAGAGGACCAAATATTACTACAAACAGGCTGCTTCCGACTCCCAACCCACTATGGAGGGATCCTTCTTCAGTTGGCTAGTACAACAATTTTCCTGTTGATAAAAATTGGGTAGGAAAATGAACCAAATCAACAAGAATGACAAAAATCACCAATTACTCTACACAGCTGTCTCCCATTTGGCAATAGAAGATGTTGGCGAAGAACAGTTGATAAAGCGGACATGCGACTACAGATTCCATTAAATCCTACCTCCAGCTGGATCAATGTCATCCTTGTATAGGAGCAAAAAGCCTAGAATTATGAATTTTTACTATTGTAACTTTCATATTTTACAATTTTGATTCTTAAAAGTTTGTTGAATTCATTATTATGCTGTTTCTTTCTTAATTACCATTATTTTTGAGTGTTCCAAAATGACGCGCTATATGCGGGACGTTACCAATAATATTCCCTAGGATGATTATCGCGGTAATCATCCCTAGGGAAATTATCAGGTAATGAGTCCTTGATTGAGTGTTATTTTTCAAAATAGTGATTCAGAAATCCTCGACTGAAGCTTTCAAAGCAATATTATATATGGGCCTGTAGAGCGATAGGATGGTCTGTATCGCCGTTTTAGGGTTCGGGAAAGCACCCAGAAAACCTTGAAATATTTCCTATAAACCCTCTCAATGTTCTGGGACCCGCTCACGAGACCTTTGAAAGCGCTTAGGAAAATCTTCTTGATCTGAAGAGGTCCTACAATGTTCTGCTGAGGGCGTAGATTGGTTTGAAAAAGATCTAGAGCGAAGAGCACAAAAAACTCTAGTGGTTCTCTTTTGTAGGTACAAATTAAATTTTGTAAAAATTTAGTATTGAAAAGTCAGACTTCCGTTATCAATCCAGTCCGATTTTAAAGTCAGATCACTCCAACCAACATGATGGCAGCCTGTTGGAGCAGCATGATCTTCGCGTGTTCCTAGACGTTCAGGGCACAGGCACCTTGAAGTTCTATGGTCCTAGATAAAATGCAAAAAAAAAAAATGTTTACATGACAGTAGACTAGAAAGTTACATAAAAAGTTTGTATTTAAAAATGGATGAGTATTAGACAGACACCAGTACCTTGTTTGTTTACCTATGTCTACAATTGCTCATTAAATTAGTCAGTCGTGTTAACAGAACTTAAATTATTGTTAAAAGTCTTGTCAGTGTACACTCTTGAGGAGAAAGACGGCGTCATCGAGCCAATAGTAGGATTGGCGAAGATCCCCTTCGCATAGGTATGGTACACGGGTCCAGACGATTACTTCAAACCCGGCCGGCGTGAACACGTCATTGATTAGGCTGCTCACTTGCTGTTCGAAAGATTCACCCGAAACTGGGAGTACCTCTTTGGGTTTATGATCAGACGACCCTAAAAGAAAAGCATAGAACACGTTTCTAATTATTGGAAAGCATCAAGGTTGAGATGGATAAGGACTTACTGTCAGCGATGTTACTGCTCCTCCACCTCTTGGAATCAATAGCGATCAGGCACTAGGATAATGGAAAATGCAAGGGATTTTGGGCTGTGAGTAATCGTACCTGTTTCGACGTATGGAGAAAAAGGCAAAACCACAGCGATTAGAGCTCTTCCACCATACTCTAAGGCTTCCTTTATTTGGTGAAGGAGTAATAAAGGTCTATCACAGCGGTCCAACACGTTCAAGCACGATATAACCTCGTACTTACGAGCGGAATGCCACTTATCAATCTCCAGCAACCTGAAAAAAGCAACCCCATCACCGCTTGCTTAAATAATTATGGTTCGCGAACGTGACAGTAAAGAGCGAGGCACTTATATTTATGACTTTTCCAGACGATAAAATGTACCCGACAATAAACAAATGTTATTCCTCGACGAAGAAACATAAAATGCAAACCAACCACCCCGCTCAAGTAGAATTTAAAGGTGAGTATACGAATATCAACATTAGTAGGTGTAATTAAAGCGATTTTATGTCCGATTGTTAACTGAATTTCTGGACGTAATAACTTAACTCATAAACGTAAGTGCTGTGTCTTAATTAAGTTGGTTTACTTAGTAAAATTGCTTTGAAATCTGAACGGAATCTCCAGTGACCAATTAAATTTTTATTACCCCAAACTGAAATTTAAATAATAAAAGAAAGCGCTTACTCATATCCACGTTTTTGTAGTAACATTTGCATTGTTTGCGAGACCTCCGTTACAAAAACGTTATTGAAGAGAGGTGCGATGCAGGCCGTCACTTCCCCATCGCCGGCCCCTAAATCCAGAAGCGATACACCTCGCCATGCTTCATTACGATTCATTAGTTTCAGGAATTGGGAAAGTGATAAAACAAACATGGATCCTCGCCTTAGCCATCTGTAACGAATTTTTCAATTTATTATCTTCGATTTACTTCGCCCCGTAACGGCATTTATACATTTTCAATCAGAACATTTTAAAGTTATTGCTTTCATTAAGCCCATCCAATTTTGATCGAACTTTTGTAATGGGGAACAAGATCTACAAGCCCTTTACCTGGGAACAGGTGAGTTTTCCCACTTTCAGTTGGTATTCATTCGTATAATGAGTATAGATTTTGGTGCCGTAAACCTGTAAGAGATTAAGTAATGTTAGACGCCAGGGTTATTCTGCTGGTGGCGGATTAGACCAGAACATAAGTTATTCTAGATGTTCCCTGTAGGAGTAATGTCACGCATTGTTTACTATGTATAAACGCAATTCGCCAAAATATAATCGTACGTGTACGAGAATATTCTAGATAAGCGACAGTAAAAAGTACTTTGTGGAAGGGGATGTTCCAATTGGATCATTTAAACACAATCAAACAAAGAAACAAAAATTTTGCAATTTCAAAATTGTTTCGCGCAATCTAAAGGTTGCTTAGAGACCATTTAAACAATGCATAAAAAATTACACCCATTTAAGTAGCCGTGAAAATAATAAGTTAATAATACCGAATTTCGTTAAAAAAACATAAAAGAAAAATAAAAATATTTGATTTTCATCAGTGTACTTACTACCGAATTCCTTTAATTATGGCAAAGTTTGACCCCCCGCCCATGTCGACTAAATAACGTCAAAAAATTATAAAAAGAGCTTCTAAACGCCAGTAATTTAATTTTTGAACTATTGTACCTAATACAGATCAAATGCATAAAAGTTTAGACCTCCAATAGAGGTACAATAAACAAAATCGAAACACTTCACATTTTTAGCTGCTAAAAGCAACCACTTTTAACTTTTCAGTTATCAGTTACCATACAAATCAAATTTTGAAAGTGTAGTAGGTAAAACTTCACGAGTAAATCACAAATCACAATAAATAAAACAAGTAAAACGGTTTTCGCCCTCAGGCGCATAACTTTAGCGCATTTTCCATGCATTTATCAGTACTTCCCTAAAGATTCTGGCTATGTTTTTCTTTACGCAAATCATCTATGGTTAAAATTCCAAAGAAATATCTCAATAAATAAGAATGTTGGCATTACGCATTCTACGCATTCGCGTAACTTATTTTTGCAATATGCGATATGTTTGCGCTTTACTAGAAGCATCTGTGGTTAAAACTTCAAACTAGAAGCATCTATGGTTAAAATTTCAAAGAAATATCTTCATCAATAAGGAAGTTGACACTGCACAGCATGCGCATGCGCACATCTAATGTTATAATATGAGATATGTTTGTCTTTAACAGAAGCAGCTTCAAAAAAATATTTCGATAAATAAGAAAGTTGATATTGCGCAACCTGTGGATGCGCCCATTAATCGTCAAGATTTTTCTTGGCTCAGGTGCCAAGTTCAAGGTACCGAATTCAAAATGAACGAACTAAATATATTGAAAAGTACTCTTATACAATCATTTTATTAAAGAACTGGAAACAAGAGAGCCTCATGATTTGCACAATTTTTTTCGCATGGATAATGAAGCATTCGAAACGTTATTAAAATATAAACTAAAACTGAAGAAGAACATAGGAAAAAACTGAAAAATCACCGCGTTAGTAAACCACGATTCGTGATGGCGCCCAAATGTCGCCAATCCCACATCATGCAATGCAATTAAATTTACAAAATTCATACTAACAGTTTCACCATCAGTTTTAAGTTGTTCCGCAATTTTGCTTGGAAAGTTAATTAAAATATAATTCAAATCTTTAGTATCTACAATTTGCGCCTACATTACATGCAACAAAATATTTTTTTAAATGACTGTTGAAACTGAATTGGAGTAGGATTAGTTGCACTTCCATTTTGATTTTTTGCGCTTTTTTTAAGAATTAAAAAAATCCGAAGAAGGAATCGCTTGGCATTTCAACCCCCAACGTCAAAATTTGATAGTTTTTTGCTATTTGGACACACTTGCGGATGCGGGATCCTGCCTAAATGTCTAAGAATATGTGTACCAAATTTGGTTCCAAGCAGTTAAAGTGTTTAGCCGGAAAAGGGAGTTCAGACAGACAGACACATGGACATCATCGAGATTTTTTACCCTAATTCAATCCTTACTAACGTGCGGGTGGTAAAAAAACACGAAAGAAAAGTTCTTCGTAATATAAGACCGAATTACATTCGCGGTGTGCCTTATCTGAACTCGTTGCTTTCCTTGGTTATTCTAACAGCGAATTGAACTTTGTTACACTATTTTGAGCTTTTTTGAAATGTTGACCCCTGATAGCTATTTCGCGAAACGCCCTTAGAAAAATCTAAACAATTTAAGATCGTATGTCACCCAAGCGACTAAACCAACCCAACAATAAAAAAATCGCTGCAGATTAACTTGCAAGCAAGTCGAGAAATAATGTAAAACATTAGAAAGAACGCGAGCCATTTTAATTTTTCTGCTACTAGAATGCAATTTTAAACTGCTAAAACTCAAAAACTTAGCGAGGTTATTCAGACCCGAGTTCAGACCGAAATCTCTGAACTGAAACTAAACTGAAATTAAATATCATTGCTGATTTTGAACCCTCATTCCACCCAAACCAATATAAAAAATTAAAAACACTAAACTACAAACTTGCATCAATAATGTTGGCACCCCCATCGAATTTCAAATTTATAAGGTGCGTAAGTAGGCTTTATATTAGACTTTTTACACATTAACTGACGACTTTCACTTGATTAATTGAAATCAGATTTCTTTTACTTTAATCTCACCGAGACAAATTGGCAATTCTATAAAGCGTTACGCGCTCCTACTCACGCATTATTTTTTCTTCATTTTCATTGGCATGCATCATTTAAATGTTGCGCTATAGTCTACAGTATAACCCCAACAAAATGCACTAGTGCTAGTCACATCTCGTTCATTCTAATTAAACTTTAATATCTCGGTCACGACAAGACGAAAATTGTCGTGAAAGAGCACTAGGTACGGGTTGTCCATTTACAATTTTCCAACCCTTTGCACTGATTACTGGCGGCATTGAGTTAATTGCACGGCGGCCATTTTGTCGAAAACCCTTAGTTTTTTTAATAAGCCGAAATAAAAAGGCGTCTGCGTGTCGTCGAAAATTGTATTTTGTATTTTTTATCAGATGTTTAGCGGATTTCGTACATAAAGCGAGCGACCTAAGCTCGTTCGTCATTTTACTATTGTACCACAAAAAAAAAAGGTTAAAAAGGCGCCTTGATGGCCAACAAAAGGTTTTAATATTCTAGTTTATCGACTCAGAAAATTGCGAATGATTTTGAATGTAGGATTGGAAGCGAAATTTGAGGTAGCGCGTGTTGACGCGGCTACAGGTGCTGTTTTTTTACAGGTAAAAAAGTGAGGTACATATTAGACGTCTGTCCACATAATAACCTTAAGGGGGGAGGGGGTAACGGGGAGTCGCGCTCCCGAGATGCGGAATCTTATTAAATTGCCCGGGCGTCATATCAGGCCGAGCCTGCGTTGCCAGGGAAACGGCCGGGACACTTTGAAAGTCTAATGCATACATCTCACACTTCGGGCGGAGAAGGGCGTCATTTTGTTTTCACCCATTCTTCTATTATAGAATTCGCGCCCTGTCTACGTTTTTACTTCCTTTACATTCTCGGATGTCGCATCGCAGAGTATAGTGGAGAGGCGAACTCTCGTTCCAAGGGTAGGTGTATCGAACAAGGGTTGCGATGTCGGGACACTGCTAAGGAATGCGTCCAATACAAAAGCCTCTATACGTGTAGTTTCGGTTTTTTTCGTATTCTTACAAAAAGTTTGCTTTTAAAATTTGCATACCAACACGACAGATACAGGATGTGAAAGGCACGTTAGAAAATTTAAGTCGAAAAAATCGAACGACAACTGCTAAATCAAATGGTGTTTAAAGTGACAAGGGTGTATTTATGAGTTTTTTACATCAACGATAGAAATACCTTTAGAGCCCTATTGTTCCCCTCTAAAAATTTATGACTTAGTTACATTCAATGACCAGAAGCTCTTTAATTTATACAATTCCTTCTGAAACACAAAATCTCGGCCGGTTACAGAATCAAACTTTTCGCTGTCCAGATTGTATTTACGAAATCCATTGAAGGGAGCTTTGTCCGCCTCTTGACCTTGTTTGTGAGTTAACAAGTTATATAGTGATTCCTTTTGAGGCTTCTACGTTCCCGTAGACGTGGAGCACTCATTCTTAAGTTATCGCATTGGAGCGAATTTGGTACTAATTGCATTTGCACTTTGAATTTAAATTATTACTTTACTCTCAAGCTAAATAGCCCAAGGTGTAAAGCGCTGGAGATAAAAGCAAAATTCTAAGCGGATCGGTGGTGTTTTCTCAAAGGATTATCGTTTTTATTCTCACGACATTCTCTTGTGTATCCTTCCAATGGGCGAACGAGATGCCACATTGGAAAGTGGTCATTTGCTGGCAAGGTTCTGTTTCGCTCTTTGCATTTAGCAATTTTGCTGAGAAGCATTTGAACACAAAAAATGAAAAAGAACTTACTGTCAACTGTTCGAGAGTATCATCTGTTATTTAAAAATGCGAATTTCCCGAATGCCTGATAGTTGAGTTTACATAAAAACTAATTAACTCGATGCGGAAGAACTGAATACCACGCAATTGCCATGACCACAAGAGATCAATATCTCTATTTACACAATAATGTAATTGGGAAAACAAGCTCGATGCCAAAAAAGCAAATTAGCCCCTCTTTCATCGCCTATTCAGATATTGAAATCTTGTAATTTCTCTTGTGGCTTTCCTTCTTCATTTGCTAACCGATTTGTTTGTTGGTAATTGCACTTCAATATGGTTTGCAAAAAAAGCGATAGGTACACTCAGCACGCGTCGAATTCCAGAAAATACCAGGTTTCTATCATGCTACGTGGTACAGAAGGTGCCATGACGAAAGTATAAGCTGCAGAAAGATGACGCCGTCAGCGATTATACTTTGC